AATTTAATTCATTCTCTATATTTGAATTATTTTTATTCATAATGCCACAACTGCCATTATTGTTGCTGCTACTAACACCTTCCATATCATCATCTTCATTATCTTTTCTTTTGGTGTTAAACAAAATGAAATTAAAAAACAATATTAGTTACAGAGAATATAATTCATTTACACTATATAACTAGAGTGACGACGAGTGGCGGGCGATAACCACCACCACCCTTAAAACACTTACTCTCTTTCGAATTCTTCTTCATTTTTTTGTTTTCTTTTTCTGTCCGCCCTACCAGACATTTTAAATTTTTTGAATAAAATAGAAATTAAAAATTTTGTTATTTGACGCGTACACACTAATTATTTATCCTATTGGTTTTTTTTTTGGTAGGACAGACGCAAATTGATTTTTTTTTTTTTTTTTCGGAAAAACAAAAAAACAATTTATTTTTTGACAGAGTCCAAGATGACAAAACGTGAATGTTGTTGTTTGGTATGGTTTGGGTCTCCTAAAGAAAACGTGTTAATAACTAACCAGAGGTACTTTTTTTTATTTGTATTGATTGACATTTTTGGTTATTATAAACATTTTAATTGGAAATCAAAACGCGGAGCAGATCTTGCTGGGTAATTACAAGATTTTCATTGATAATATTTTGTTTTTCGTAATCGTTAATAATATTATTATATTATTATAATTACAAGATATCAAGGCAGCACACAATTGAAAAAGAAACATTTCGATATGCGATGTTTGATTATCGGAAATTTACAGGTGTTGAAGCACGCACGCTACCTTGAACACTTTACAGTCATTCACACACGTTCCTCGTGTACATAAGGCTAATCTGACCACGGTGCTCCAGATGATACAATGATGCTACCGAATTTTCAGGGGGGGGCGCAAAGCTCTGGAGTTTACCAAGACTGCATCAATCGTCAATGACATTTTCACTATCCTCCCAGACCAGAGAAGGCCGCTGGCATGCTGGCCGAAAAGTTGCCTGCAACGATCCCACCTCTAGGGTAAGGGTGGCACTGTGATCATGTCGCAACTCTGGAGGAATATTAAGAGAATCTGCAACTCGTTTCAAGCACAGGGGTCACAATCCAGAGCAGGGTTGGTGACCCGGAAATTGCATCTGGGCTCTGATGTTAAGAGGAAAGTTGTAAAATAGTGTTTGTTTTGTATAATCACTTTCCTAAATTCTCTGTTTCTCTGATACTAACCAATTTAATAATTTTGGATAGGGGACTGGATTGGGTTTTTGCCCAATCAGTCCCCCTGTCCTGTAGGTTAAAATTATTGTATGTTTATATACATCTTTGTCAGCAATGTGGCCAATAAGGAAAAAGTCATAAAATGGTTTGGATTTTGGTATGTGATGTTATAAATTAATCATTTTCATAAATTTTCTGTTTCTCTAAACTTTATTTGACCAACTGAACTTGTTGTTTAAACGGGGTAGGGTTGTTGGCATGTTGATGTGCCTAAATTTAGGGAAAATCTAAAACAGCAACCCAGGTTGTAACCTCCCAAGGTGCAGGATTTTTGAACCTGTTGCAGATACCAACTTTTATGCTAGTGTGGCAATAACACAAAGCAATCATCACACAAGCACCAGCTATCAGTGATCAATGCTCATATGATAACAGTCAAGCCTGGTCTGAGAGGAAGATAAGGAAAATTTTGTCCAAAGCCTTCCAACTTGTCCAAGTTGCTCTCACTTGTGGAAAAAAGGTCCACAGTGCAGGAGGGTGCTTTGCACAACGCTTGCATGTTTGTGACAGGAAAATTTTAATTAAATCTGACACCTGCAATCAACATCAGATTTATTATTCATAATTGATAATCAGGAAAAATAATTTATTTTGTGAATCCCAAAGATCTGGGTAGACACACATTATTAAAAGTTTCATTTTTGCATGGCCTTAGTATTATTACTACCTGGATGATGCAATTGTTTGTGATGTCAATGATGATATCAAATGTATCACATAATAATCATGACCATTGTGAATATTCGATGGATGGAGGCATTCACATACAAGGAAATGATTAAATAGTAAGTCAAGCAATCAGGCTGTTATACTTGCACATGATTTAAAATTCTTTTGTGCTAATTTAGGGTCCCATCTTTCTTTGCTTGTATATAATCTATATATTCTTATTATTATGTTTACTGTTTTTAGAAATAAACAATAATTCTATCTAAATTTATTTGTTTATCTGTTATAGTATGATCAAATAAATTTTGGATTTCCAATTAGACATTTTAAAAAAATATAAGATCATCATTAATGATATTCTAATTTTAAAAATATATGTACAGTCACGTCACAAAGTAACGCCCGATTCAAAATTGAAACCGAAAATAAAGATATTTATTGATTTTTTTTATTTTTTAGCAATTTATACATAAAAAAAAATTAATATCTAACTAATACTTTGTCGGCCCACCATTTGCTCTTAATACCGCATCGATTCTTTTTGGTATTGAGGTAACAACCTCCTCGAAAACAGAGCGATCCAAATTTTCCCACTCCTCTCTCAATGCAATTTTAAGTTCGTTCACAGTTCTCAGAAAGTCTTCATGCTTTTGGATATTATCCTTTAACAACTTCCAAATGTTCTCTATCAGGTTCAGGTCTGGCGAATTCGCCGGCCAGTCAATAGTTGCAATTTTATTAGTCCTTAGCTATTCCTTGGTTGCTTTTGAAGTATGGATCGGTGCGTTGTCCTGTTGATAAACCACAGAACCTCCTGTCAACTCACGAACTGCATGCTGATATGGCAATAGTTATGTTTAAGATGAGAAAAGTTATACAAAAAAGGGGAAGAAACGGGCTGTGTAAATGAATTATATCGTAGTTACATGGGAAAATCGGGCGTTACTTTGTGACGTGACTGTACGTACCAATAATTAAGAGAAGGAGATATTTAACAGGTAGGTTCTATTAAAATTAGTCGATTACTACTTCATTAAAAGTGTGCCTTTATATTTAAACATTGAAAATAAACTATATTCTTTTTGGATGGGTAAGACTGACTGTTTTGTTTTTAACGAACCCGAATTTTTTGATATTAATCCAATTTCCAACCCACAGAAAGATGAATTGCCAAAAAGTCCGTCCACTAAACATATAGTGTACTTTGATCTGTAACAATTGTTATACTTGTAATGATTTGGCTTTTGAGGCATAGTTTGACGGTATCCCAATATTATTGTCAATGATCAGCTTTAAATCACCACAGTCTAACATCAATAAAGCAATTGAATTTTTAGTATGCATGCATAAAGAAGGAACTTGTGTATTTGAACCTTTATCAAAATATAGCTTGTATTTAAAAACTATTGTAGATGCTTATCTTTCTGAATTTTTTGTTTCCAAAAGTTATTATAAAAAAATCCAAGATAAATAAAATAATCAATTAAGAATTTAAGCATCTTAAGTGAAAGGATAAATTTTAATTAAGCTTTCATTCAATGCTACATTTTGAATACACAATTTTGCAAGTATGGCAGTATAAATTTATTTGTATTTTTTTTTTTTTCTAATTTTTTATTCTAAATAAAAATTATTTCCAAGAAAAATAACATGGAAAGTATGTATATGTGCCACTTTTTAATAGTTTATTTTCCGAAGAATCAAGCTATAAAGTAATCACCATTTTATATTTTTAGATCTTTAAAGAATCCATCTTTTATCATTCAGTAGTAAGTACACATGCAGCCAACAAAGAATAATGGAATTGGTAAACTTGCCTGTCTATCCAGGAGGAAATGTAGCGATTATCATGGTTTCAGATGTTGCATTAATACTACAAAATTATAATATTGATGCATGATCAGCTAACCAAATTTCCAGAGACCTAGAAACCGAGCATATTAAAGACATAAAGGTTTTTGGTATCATGTAAATATATTGATTAGGTTAAATTCTCTAGATTCATATATAAAAAAAAAGGACAAATCTTATTTTAATAATTTGATTGCCAAGATGATGGTTGGTCCAAGCCATTTGGGTTACTTAGCATCGCATCACTGAACTGCTTTATAATTGCCTAGAGTAAATATACGACAGTCATATTAATGTATTATATTCATGCATAATTTGCATCAAGATTAGCTTTCCTTAAATAATTCTCGGGTGCCTGAGTATCATTTATTTTAAAAACATAAGGAGCAATTTCTCACCTTGTTGCTTTTTTAAAATGTATATGATATTACTATAATTCTTGGGTTCAATGATAGATTGGTTCATATATTCTAATTTTCCCACACATTTGGTAAAAAAATTGATAAGGGTAGTGTGTGGTATTTCATCATTTGTGCTGAATCGTCCCCATTTACCCTAATATGTCTTTTTCCAACGTCAAACTAGAGTCAAGTTCAACAGGATTTTCTTTCCCCGCTGATTTTGCTAAGCCCATTATTACATTTTTGGTATAACATAAAATTGCATCACCCGAGTAATGATAATACCAAGACCATGCAGTGATTTTAAAAAAGATGTCTTTCCTGGCGGGTAGAAGACAGGGAATTTGGTAGAATTGGAGATAAAAAAACCCTTTTCTTCTACTTGGTTCCCTTTTCTTGCGTGTGTGCACTTTCCAATTGCACACAATTACAAGTTGTAGAACTTTTTTAAAAAATATTTCCAAATGAATAAATCTGATGTTTATTATAAACAGGGTTGGCATTGAACATGTTCAAAATGTATTCTGACTTGGTGTTCTTGATGATGGAGGTTGAATGGTGATGAGTTCGGTTGGGTTGGTGATTGAGATTGAGATGGTGGGGTTGGAGTGAGGTTGTGTGGTGGTGCTGTTGTTGATTATTGTGATGGTGGATTTTGATCTACAGCCAATGCCAACCCTGCTTTATTGGGTGTCAGATTTAATAAAATTTTCCTTTCACAAACAAGCAAGCGTCATGCGATTGCAAACCTCAATAACTGTAGAATTTTAATTTTTTCTACAGGTAAGGCAATTGAACAAGTTTGAAGGCTTCAGACAAGCGAGAGGCTTTAACACAACGTGATCGATAAACTTCAGAGCATCGTTACCCCTCCCCGAAGTTTAATTCCGTTCTTATATCATCGGGGGATCAAGTCAGATTAGCCTTTTTCACGAGGAATGTGTGAATGATTGCAATATTTGAGCAACAAAATGTTGCATATCAAATCACTTTTTAGTGTTCCCAGATTGTTCAATAGCAGTTTCCTATATGTGTATGATATATATATATATATATATTTAACATTTTAATGATAACAATGTAATGAATGCTCACGCAAAACAAATATATCAATCATTTGTTTATTATCACACGCAACAAGGAGAGCACTTTGATAAGCTTCTCCTTACTGCATACACCTTGATTCTGCAGAATGCACTTTAAAAAGTATAGATATCCTTCCTACCTTTTATTAAGCGTGTCCAGTGAGGTAACTGACTGCTATTTCCTGGGTGACACTGTGGAAGAAGACTTGCTGGAATGGACAGGATTTACAAAAGAGTCACGTAGCAACTGAGGCATAAGACTTGGCACGCGTTATCTATTGGAATATATTTTAATAATATTATTATATATATTATTAACAAATGTACCAGTTGTTTGTTTATTATCACAAGCAACAAGGAATATTATTTTCAACCTCCTTATTTCCTTATTGAAGGAGAGTACTTGGATAAGCTTCTCCTTACTGTCTCCACCCCAATCCTGCAGAATGCACTTAAAAGTATAGATATCCTTCCTACCTTTTGTTAAGCGTGTCAGTGAGGAAACTAGCCTGCTATTTGCTGGGTGACACTGTGGAAGAAGACTCGCTGTGTCGGTCAGGATTTGTAGAAGAGCCATGTACCAACTGAGGAATAGAATCTGGCACGCGTTATCGGTTGTAACATATTTAATGGTATTATTATAATGTTTATTATTATTATTATTGATTAAATTTTTTTTTGTTTCATGGTGATCAATGATTTTCATCGTGTAGCTCATTGTTCCCATGGAATAACTGATTTGTCCCATGGTAACGTCCCATGATTTAAATTCATACGGGAAATCAATAAAATGATTTACGAAAGTTGCACGCAAATAAAATCGGAAAAACTGATCAAGTATAGTGCAGGACACCTATATATTCAATTTCATATTGTTACTTAATCACTGTAATAACCAATAAAATAATGGACTCATGGAAAATATCTCAAACAACAAGAAGTAAATATTCCAACATTCTAAAATATACCAGACCTTTAATTTTCAGATTTAATTAAACGAAGAAATTTTAAATGATTTGATCACTTTAGAAATAACTTGAAAATAATTCTACACAGAATACATTTAATTAGAACAACTAATCTTTAGATGGTGTCACCAATTA